CTTCAACTCCCAGAATTCATGCTGGCTGGGGAATTCTGGGAGTTGAAGTCCACTCATCTTAAAGTGGCCAAGTTTGGACAACACTGCCTTAGAGGAACTCCAAGGGTTGACATTAGCAGACAAGAGTGCTAATGGTCTACCCACAATTTAAAACAAGCTACAGCCAAACGATGAACATTGTTTGAACATGACACTCTGTTCATTTTCACTGTTACGCTTAGGCAAAGTTGCTGTTTCTAAATTGGTTGACTTCCTGAGGTGTACGACAAGTCGGAGTTCAGAAGACAGTGGTCTTGAAGAGTTGTGCCACATGCTTGATCCTGATCATAGAGATATCTCTATGGACTTGGAGACCTACCATGCCATCATGAAAGAATGGATTGAAGATTGCAAAAGAAACTGGTAACTGGCTGTTCTTGCCAACTTTTTGTGATGCATGATAGTCCATATATTGATCTTAACTCGGTTGATTAACCATTTACTCAGTTAAAAAAAAAACCCCTTCTGGAGCTTTTTGCTATGGTTTCTGGAATAGCTTCACATCATCTTGACCAGCTCTTCATTGACACCCCATTTAAGAACAAGTTAAAAAGCATCAGTCCCAAAATAGATCCTCAATGGATTCCATTTCTGGTTTTTATTGAGAAAATTATTAATTTATTCCTGCTCTTTGCTTTCTGATTTTTAACTACTTGGCAATCCATAAAAAACTGGAGTGTCTAAATATACTTAAAAGTCTTTGATAAGGAAGTTTGGATGGATGGTGTCATCATGCTGTATATAATCATATAGGTTACAAAACTGAAAGCTGGCCACAAATCATGAAGATGGAAAAAGTTTTTCAGTACTAAAAAAAATGCAAAGAAGTTTAACCTATCATTAATTCATTCCATTTCTGTTAACCTGTATTCAGATATCTAGAATTACCTTTTTTCTGTTTTTCAGGAATGAGCTGCCCACCAGGGAGGCAACCCCTGAAAATATTTTCGCAGGTGTTTCTTTATCAGATTTATTGAACTGCATTCAAAATTATTAATAAAATGCAAATAAATTAGAATAATAATTTATGTATTATGGAAAATTTAGTGGAATGGGTACAATGTACATAAAAAGTGTTAGAAGTTAAGCCATATGCTTCCTGTCCAAGAGGAGTAGTCTATCAGTGATGATTATGTAAACTGCCAGCTGTAGAAGTCTCTCTCAACATATATACTGAGATTTATAGGTTCTTCTTTGAAAGTTTTTTTATTTCTTGAAATTTTAATACCCCTGCTCCTTTCATGGCAATGAATCTTGCTAAAGAGAACTCTGAGGCTGTCTAGCAGTGAAGGAGCTACGCTAAATGAGAATTATTTGATAAACTTGATTATCGTTGCTGAGATGGTGAATGAACCATCTTGCTCTTGTCAGACTGATCTTCTCAGTCCCAAGATAAAGCATCTGCCTTTTATGTCAAGGGCTCACCCTGTCATGGACCAGAGTCCAACTGTGTGTGGTTTTTTCTCATACCCATTGCATATGGCTGGTCAATATCAATATTAAGAAGATCAACAAACATACAGTCTGCAAGGTTTGGTAAAAAACAGTTGCAAAAGGAGTATGATTAACTAGGGTTAGAGAAGGTTTGCAAATATATGGGATAAAACTATTGAGAATTAGTGGTGGGGATGCCAAGAAAATAGGTTGTGGGAAATGGATGGTAGAATTTTCATTGGTAATGATGTGATGAGGCAAGCTGTGATTCCGAGAGGCAAGGAAGCATTATAGTGAGACCGTAGCATTTGCAGGGGAGAGTACCAGTTTGGGGAATATGAGGAAGGTCAGAAAAGTGAAAGTGTGATATCAGTCATGTAGAGCAGGGTTCCTCAACCTCAGCAACTTTAAGATGGGTGGACGTCAACTCCCAGAATTCCCCAGCCAGCATGGGG